AATTCAATAATACTTACAAAAAAGAAAAACAAAAACAAAAAAAAAGAGAGGATCTATTTCCATAATAATGAGAATTCGGGATGTATTAGATGGTTGTGTGGATGGTGACTGTGAAAAAAAAGTGGACTATAAAATACAGGAGAGAAAAGGTAAGAGAGAGGATCGAAGAGAGAGAATAAGAATTTGTTTTGTATGGTAGCAGTTGTTTAAAAATGAAAGCTTAGTTTTAGTTGTAGGTTTTTTTAGAAATTATCTATAAGTGAAGGATATTATAGTCATTTTACTGCATGAATGGAGATTAGTGTAATTATTCAAAACTAGGGGAGGTGAGTGAAATTGTCAGAAACCTCAGGGGAGGCTTCTGAAAGTATCCCTTTCTTTTATCTTGTCCAAAAATTATCACCTTTTTATAACTTCTTTTTTTTACCTTCTCTAGAAATGAAAAAAAAATACTAGCTATGCATGGGATTCTTTGTGGGTTTCTTTTATTTCCCATAAACTGTCAGCTATTTGTTGCTTTTGTCCATTATTTGAAAAAAACTACCAGTTATTTATGGGTATGATTTTCAGTTCCAACCTAAAATAGGCATTATATAAAAAGACCACCAATTGTTTTTATCTTCATGCTGATTTACATGTCAATAAGGTAAGAAGGAAAATTTTGGTACAGTTTTGCCTTAAATTTTAACAATACGAAGTAGTAACCAAATTGGATATTGTAACCAAATTAATATAACCAACTAAAACCATAAAAAAAGAAGAGGCATAGGCTTGTCGAAAATGCATTCCAAGTGGTCCTTGAAATGGCTGCTACTGAATATGGACCATAAACAAAATAAAGTAAAGGTATAGAATTTAGAATTCAAAAGTTATAACACTAGTGTCTGCACTTCCGAACGGGTTTTATCCCTTTTTTGTTGGTTCTAACAGAGCATACTTCTCACGTGCAGCTTTCCTTCCAAATTGAGTGTTATTTTGTCAATTGTCCCTAATTGGCCAAAATTCAGGAACTTTGAGAATGAATGTATTCTTGGTGAAACTTTGAGGACGAAATTGGTCATCAACCCAATTTTTGAGAACGAGAAGTGCATTTTTCCCTTAGTCTAAATAATAGAGTAAGGACCTAGTACTTGCAATATTTGCTTCTCGTGAGATTAACCCGATATATGTCCTAAATTACCATTTTAACCTATATACTTGCAGTCAAATAGGTATATTTTGGATTTAAACTTGCACTTATATCAAAAGTCCGTCAGATATCAGTCATTGTTATATTCAAATATATGTTGTAATTACTAATGCTTTCTAATGCTATTTCTTATGAATTCTCACCACAAAATTTGTAAAGCTGCAATCTTACTTGCGCTTCCTCTATCTATCAACAATTTCCCTCTTGTTAACTCTAATACTCAATCCTATAAATCCTTATACATCTTTTGAAATTATTTCTATATATCAATCCTATGTAGTAAGTAGTAGGGAGTTTTAAACACCCATTAATAGGATCTGTGGAGGATAGGACTACATTATAAATTGGAATTTGAAAATTGTAGAGAAGTTGTTTAATTCAATGTCAAAAAGGATCCCAAAAAGGGTTTGGAATAGTTTCTAAACGTCAATGGGATTATTTTTGAGTGAAAATCATACCTCATCCAAGTTTTGTCGCTAGTTGTTTTGTTTGTTCATTGTTGGTTTCAATTTCACTATCACTTTAATATAATTGATTTATGAACTACAATCTAAGAATCACAACTTTAACGCGCACACTTTGATCTCAAATTGGTATAAAATTGATATATATTTTTTAGATTAAATACATAAGAAAAAAACTTCAATAATAGCTTATGCCCGCCACAAGTACACGTTCTGGCGCATCATGCGTGTTTTAGCCTCTAGTACCATTTGTTAAGTCACTAAAAAACTCTCTAATTTACGAGACTTAACATACAAAACACATTATGAACAGACTTAAGTACACATAAAATCAAATGCAAATTGAACATTAATTAAAAACACAGAGTGTTAGAACTCATTGGTAATTACTTCTTTTCACATAATACAAAATGAAGAAGAAACAATAACTTAAAGTGGAGCAAAAAATTCATTTTTGTATCTTAGTACTTTTCACAAATAGTAGTAATTAAGGGCAAATATATGAAGCTAAAAGTGGATTGCATAAATCATTACCATATCTTAAATAAGGGTACAATAATCTATTGTCTATTTTTTTTTCGAAAATGACAGATGATTTTATAGATAAAATAGGCTTTACAGTATTTGAGCAATGGCTTAATTAGCTATACAAAGTGTACTACGACACTTAAGGAGTAACAAAAGTTCTTTCCTAGGGATGGCAATGGGGGCGGATGACCGCAGGCACCCGCCCCGCGGGGGGCTAATGGGGAGGGATTTGGGGCGGGGGCGGGGGGAATTTTTTCCCCCGCGCTTAGAAACGGGGCCGCCCCGCCACCCGCTTTTAAAAAATAAATATATAAAATATATATGTATATAATTATATATAAAATATATAATTTAATTAGTTACAAACTTATGATAATGATATTATTAGTTATATGTATTATATAATGTCTATTAGTATATATCATATAATTGATATTATTAATTATACTAATAATTATATATGTGTACTAATACAAATTATTAATTGGTTATACTAAATTTACTAATACATTTATACTAAATCCCTAATTACACTTAATACAATAACATTTTTTTCTTAAAAAAGCACAAGCACAATAATGAATTAGTGATTGTATATGTGCTAAAAGTGAAAACTTGACTACTTTAATTATATTTATTTCATCATGTTGGATTGTATTCAAATAATTTTTGTTTGATTATTTTTATAAGTTTCAATTGTAAAATTACAATGAATAATAATTTGATAATGTGTTGATATTTTAGTACTTGATTATTTGCTAAAATTTAACTATAATAAAATTATATAATAAATTTTTATTACCCCCACGGGGGCGCCCGCGGGGGAAGCGGGGCGGGGGGAGCGAGGGACGGGGGATGGGGGGAATTTGTAGGCAGTGGGGCGGGGGATTGGGGAGGGGTCCCCCGCCCCGTTGCCATCCCTATTCTTTCCTTATCTCTAAATATGCCAAATGCATATAGGCTAAGACTATTACATTGATCCCTACTATCGGAATTTCCTACATAAAAAGAGCACAATTGAAACAAGTTAGCTAGTGCAATGATGTCCTCCACCAATGTGAACGTATGAATATCTTCTCTTGTGCCCGACTTTATCAAAGCAATGAGGTGTTTGTTATCACATGAGATCTTAATCCGTTGCCATCGCATTTCTCTTGCTTTCATCAGGGCCAATCTTACAGCTTCAGCTTCATCTTGAATTTTCTAATATGAGCTTCTCTCCACCAAAGTCCATTTAGCTCTGGGTTGAGCTCCATTTAGCTTAGTTGCAATTCCAATTCCTAGATTGTGTTCCTCTTTAGAGCTTTTTGTAGCTATCTGGAGTTCAACATAGTCCTTTTCAGCAATTCCTTCCTCCCTCACCCTTGCTATTGCTTCACTTGTTTCTGGTGTGCTTCTAGTTACCTCTCCTTCTATTCAAGGGAGGCACAAATACTATTTTTTTTGTTTCATATTTTTGGGGAGTTCAAAGAACAAAAGAAAAAAGAGAGAGATTTGTTACACTTTGCACCTCAAATGTTGCCAAATCACACTTTGCAACTCGAGCTTTTAATTTTCACAATTTACTACCTTCAACTTCTAATATTTTTGCATAATCCACTGTATTTAAATAAGTTCCAATATATTAAGGTAAGTTTTATTTGGCTAATAATCGCTAAAAGTCTCTTTCAACTCTTGCCATTGCCTTTTTGTTATGAGGAAAGGTGTCAAAATGCACGTTCCTCTCACATCTAAAGCTAATAAAAATCTTTTGTTTTCCTACTATAAGAAAATATATCTCTCTTTTCCTATAATAAAATATAGGATTTTCATTAGCTTTGGACCGAAATAAAAGCATGAAACTTAGCGTCTTTCCTTATAAAAATAAAAAGCATTTAGGAACAAAATAAAAGTAGGATTTGAAGATTTTCCTTTTTTAATTAATCATTGGCTAAATAAGATCTACCTTAACTCATCAGAATTTAGTTAGTTTTAGCAATTGTAAAAAAATAAGATGTTTAAGGTGGATACTGAAAAGCTAGGATGGATAAGGGTGGGCAAAATTATCCGCTAATCCAAAAATCCACCATATCCGATTTGATCCGAAAATTAACTCGATTTGTATAATTTGATTATGTCAAAAGAGGGTTAGATACCCGCTAAGATGTGGGGCAGGTTAGCATCACATAATTAAAAACTTGCGGGTATCCTAAAAAATAATAATTTAGAGCTAAATAAGTAATTTCATTGAACAATTTGTATTACAAATATGAGAGACTATTTATTTACAAGATTCATTTGTAAAGATCATGATCTTATGTTTTATAGAAAAGATTTTAACTAATATGGAACGTATTTTTAAAAAAATGTGCTATTTATTTCAAATTTTTATTGATTTTAAATTCTTTTAATTTTTTCCTTTATCTTGTATTCTCTTTGCATGCTTGTTTCTTGGTGGGAAACTTTTTTGAGAAAAAATCTTTATTAAATCTTAGATGAATGTATAAAATATAAAATTCAATTAGTATAAATTATTTTTTTAAAAAATTAAATGATAAGTGGGGTGGAATAGGTACCCGTTGATCCAACCCTATTTCAGTGAGTACCCCCGCTGATATGTTGGGTGGATAATGGTTAGAAAATAACTGGCTCGCAAGGTATGGATCAGATTAGCTAAATGGTGAAAGAGACGAGCACCCGACTCACGATCACCTGGAAGAGGCTTGAAATTTGAGCATAGGGCCTAAACTGCAATTAGCCCAAACCAAAAAAGAACCTTAAAATAAAAAAGAAACTTTTCTTTTAAATGGTATAAGAGTATAAATTTAGGGGCAATGTTCCTTCGAGGCTGTGCCAGCTCGGTTGCTTGCTTGTATCAATGAGACTGTTTCATTGTGAGGAAAGATTTATCGCCGACTCTCTCAAGGACAGAAAAAAAAAACGAAAGATAAATTGTTTTTGAGTCTGAAATAAATCTTCTAATTTTTTACAGTTCATAATACAGGAGGAGTTTTTTTTTTTTCTTTTCTTCCTTTGGGTTTTTTTTTTCTGCACTTAATTTTGATCAATGACGTCTCGGACTTTGAGGAGAAGGCTTCACCATGGAGATGTTGACGGGAAAAGGGACGAGCATTTGGATTGTTCGGGAGTAGATCCTTTGAATGAGCCGTTACTTGGGAATCAACAATACGACCATGATAAGGCTTCTGAGGTTTGTTGTTGATGTATTTTGATTCTATCGATTTATGGAAAGAAGAAGCAGTTCAGAATTTTTGTTAATTGGTATAATTAGGGTTAGGGTTTTATTGAATCATACTTTGTTTGTTGTGTATATGCAGCTCAGGTATGGGAGACATAATCCCATTCAGAAATTAGGGAAAAATTGTGAGAAGGGCATGTTCTGTTGCCTATTTGCCTAATTAACAGAGAGGGGAGGATAATTTTGGATGAGTGAGTTTTAAGGCCAAAGGGCATTGGTACTAATTTTTGTAGCAAATGAACAATTTTTTTTTTGTTTCTATTAAATTGGCAATGAAGTGCTACCCTTTGACTATTTTTTTTCCAGTTATGATGGACGTTTTGGCTTTTTGGTTTAGGATAAATGGAAGACTGGTATGGGCTAATTTCTTGTAGACTTAGTAGGAACTAAGTGAATCAAGACGGATTGGGGAGCCCTATGAGTTCACCTATTGTATGGAAGGAATTTAGATGCTTTTAGGAAAGTAGAAAAAGTAGGTAGTTGGGAGCTTTTGTTGGCTTATTTTGTTATGTCTTTTCTTTATAGGAATGTACACTTGCAGATCTTTTGGATGATGGACGGAGCAGAGAAAACTTGCACTGGGCAATGCTTTTTTCTCAATTAATTGCACAATGGGCTCAGTGGTTGGGTATGTGCTGTTTAATATCCCACCCCCTTCCTTCTTCATGGCACATTGTGTCTTAATTGTGGTCTTGCACCTGTAATGCTGCAGGAAACTTTGTTAAGATCCACCTATGTTAATTTTCCTGCCTCAATTTGTCAAAGTTTGTTATGCTTTTTTAAATGTAACTAAGGCTGTTGAAGAAGGATGTACATGTTATGCAATGACCAATTGGATAGGTTTAGCGATTTGTGTTGAGATTGTCTCAGAAGATATGTCACTTTCAAATGGGAAAACTAAGCAAAAATTTGTTATACAGAATAGCATGCTACGAGTTTTTCTGGTTGAGATGTGTCACTTGCAAATGGGAAAACTAAATAAAAATTTGTTATACAGAACAGCACACTGCGATTTTTTCTGGTTATTGTTATTTTCATGGGAAAACTTGCTAATCGACCATGTTATGGTTAAATTAAATCTGAAATTTCAGTTTTGCTTCATGGTTTTAGAGGTTTTGCTGCATGTCCGACATATGTAATAGGTGGGATTGAACAATCAGACCCATAGGCATTGATTGAGATCTGTGTCAACTCAGATTGTGGATTAACTGATTCCTCTTAACGCATTTACCTGTTTCATAGGAGAGTATTAGTAGTTAGTGAGGATTTTATCGTCATTGCTTTTCTTTCTCATTGTGCATGCAAAAGTAATTTGTTAGCTGAACAGTTATTGGCTTGTTAGAGTGATAGTGATCTAAATATCAATCATCAAGCATAAAAGGTCGTTTGTATGGTGGGGATTTCTGCCTTTTGAACAACAGAAATTTCTTATAATGTGAGGATTGCCATAACTTTTGGAAATTGTGGTCATCTATAATTACAATGCTTTTCCTTCAAATAAATGTATAATGTTTCTATCTTAGTTTAATTTTGTTTATTGTTCCAACTATTGTTAATTTTAGTTAGATGTATTAATTTGTTTGTTTCCCAACCATGGTCCTATGGGACTCATTTATCAAGTCAGTTTGTAGTTGAGCTTGAAGCACTTCTGGAAAAGTATGACAAATGTAATCACTTGGGAGCATGCCTTGAATTCTCAGAGTAATCATGTGGGAGCATGCCATGAACTCTTGAGTTCAAAAAGTTAAAAAAGATTATCCTGAATTTTGTGCTCACAGCACAAGTGCGACAATTTGCATATATGTTAAGCATCACAGAACACTGATTTAGGCTTGTTTGATGATGAAAGGACTTTTGGTTATGTCGGTTGAGGTGCATCTATACTTGGGCTGTTGATAGGGAAATGCTGACCTGTGAAGTTGTGTATTGGGTATCACCCATCCGATTTGACCTTCCTAACCAAGAATTGGTAGCATTGTGATGCACTGAGATGGTAACACATCCCATGAGTAACTAAATCAACTGCTTGAATTTGTTCCTATTAATCTGAAGGGAATTTTTTAAGTGGTTATTGGAAATGTATCTCAGCCCAGTATTAAGTATTACTTTGTCAAATGGTTTGATATGTATTAAAATCAGCAGCTTTATATAGAACTACTTTTAAGTATCATCTACTCCACTTGAAATTGTTTTGCTTTTGTGAGTGTTTCCTGAAGTATTGTCTACTTGCTTGCTTATCATGTGTCAACTAATATCTTCTCAACATTCAATTTATTCCTGTGGTGATTTACGTGTTTCTGTCTTCAAACCAGAAATACGTTTTGTGCCACATGAATCCACGACATTTTAATTGAAATGGAGAGATTACACATTCTACTTGTGCATGATATGCACATAAAATTGGTATAGGAAATAATATCTTACTCCTATCCTATGCTTATAGGTTACCAGTTTCTTTTTTTGGTTTCACATGTTTGCATTATTTTCTTGATTTTCTAGCATATGCAATTAGGAGAATTTACAGCTTAATTTTTTACTAACGTAGTTGTGATATCTGTTGTTATTAGAGCTTTGCTAGTTACAGCTTTTCAAGATTTTTTATTGCATTAGGCAAACATCTGTACTAATTTAAAGCTAAAGATACTATCTGTACTAATTTAAAGCCAGAAAAAGGGGTTTGGCATTAAACTTTCTTTATCGCTCTTTGGACTCAAATTGTAGACTCATAAGAAAGGGTAAAATTGCACCACCCAATCCAAAATGAAACCAAAACATAGCCTATGCTCCCAATTACCAATAACTGTCATGTTCTTAGATTTTTAAAGGCAGAACTACCAATCCTTCTCTCTCTCTCTCTCTTTTTTTTTAATAAATCTTTTGGCTTTCAGAAACATTGGGTGTGCCTTTCCCTTTAGTTTTTATAACTTTGAATAGGATTAATATTGATGCTTCATAGGATACAGATGATATGTTTTCAATTCAAGCATTTTAAGCTCATCTGAATATGCTCGCTGGGTTTATCAAAGCACTGCGAATTACCATGAACAGCCATCTTGTGCAGAATTTTTATTAGTTTAATGTTGCCTTATTGACAATTTCTTTTGCCGTTGGTAGCAAATATTGTTTTTGGATCTGGATCTTTTATCGGAAGGCTTCTGCCATTTGCTTCAGCTCCTCAAGATGGAGTGAAAAGGAAGATTTTACCACCTTTGCTGAGTCATTTACAGGTATCACTTGTTATTTCAGATCTCATTGGCAGTCTTCTTAAGAGAATATTATATCTGGAAATATCATAGGTACTCTACTGCTGGGAAAGTTTGTTCTTTCTGCTTTGTCTGGAATTATGACGAACTTAATATGGTTGTCAAATCTTTCTCGACACTTCTTTGGACAAGTGAATTGTATGGTAGCACTCAGAAATAGGTTGTCTTAGATCTTTATCACCACTGTGCAATTGGAGCTAGGAATTTTTGTGGAATATGCACTCATGATCCTTTGATAGCATAGCTTGGCTTAACATGCTCATATCTGGTTAGATTTATTCTCCCTGGATATATATCTGATACGAGAATATTTGCTTGTAAGCCTCTCCAATAGCTGCTCTGAGTAAGAATGTTTCTAGCAGCCCTTGTAACTTTTTTTAACTATCAGGATTTATCCTATATGCCACCTGATCAAGTCAAGAAAGAGATCTGAGAATCCAAACCTCAAAGATTTTCATGATTTTTCTCAAGCTTCAACTGACCTGAAGATTAACAGCTTAATTGGGAGCAAGAATTAGTTAATTTAGCTTTAGAAGTTACTATTATTTAGGTCTCAAAGGGTACTTTGGTCTTTTATTTGTCACGGGAAAATTTGAGAATCGCGTCTTTGAGTCTTTATTGGGTCGTTATTTTATTAGATAAGTAATTGGTGTCCTTGTTTGAGGGTAAGTTCCTAAAAGTTCTAGAGTTCTATAACTAGCTATTGTCCTATTCAGAATGCAAATTGGAGTGTTTTAGGGAGCTTTTGGTTTATAAATTCTTATTTCTTTATTCTTTACAGAGAATTCGAGGAATAAAGATTGAATTTTGGTTCATTAATTGATTTATTCTTCTTCCCCTCTTCTGTTCCCACGGGTACTGTTCACAGCCCAGAAACAGGGCACAATCCTCTCATTCTTCCACTAGCATTAGTAGGCAATCTCTCTTATATCTTGTCCTACATCAGTTTGGTGTCAGAGCTCAAACTTTCTTTCACTTAGTCAGCCATATTTCCTTCTTCTCTACATCAGTTTGGTATCAGAGCCCAAACTTTCTTCCTGTTAATCAGCCATATTTCTTTCTTCTTCTCCATGGTTGAGTGAACATACTGATTTTCTTCAAGGAAATCACAATGTTTGTTTCATCTTTTGATGGCATATTCTGTAGGTGTTTTACTTCTTTTGAATATTGCTTTGACTACCATAATCTTGTGCATTATAACAAAACCCTATTTGCCAAAGGCAAAACTTGTTGGATGGGCTAAGATGTGGTGGTTTAGAGTTGAAAGAGATGTGATGGCACACAGAGGATATTTTTATACTTGGAGGAGATGAGAACGCAACTCTTAGAAGAGTATTTTCCCTCCTAACGTCATCAAAAGCTGTTAGGAGAGTTTTGTGGTCCATCGAAAGGGTATATGCCAAGGTTTACTCCACTACTATATGCAACCTAAATTGTTGAGGAGCCTCCTATACCAAGCTGGAAGTTTTGCAGTTTCGTTGAATTAAACCAGGTGGTGATGCCATTAGAACAGCACTAAGACCACCTGACGCAGCACGAACACTTGGTAGGCACAACAGCTTTGTAGAAAAGCTTAGATATTGAATTTCACTCTAATTTATAATAGCAACTTGGAATAGGATGAAAGAATATGCTTAAGAAGGTGAAAAACTGATTAGTAATTCTAGGAATCATTCCTAGGAATCTTTAGGCATCACACCTAAAGTTGGGATGTATCACACAACCCTAAGAAAGGCGTTGAGTCTGCAGGAAAATTTTATTAATGACAAAAATCTGCCTTCTCTTTGTGGAGAAGTGGTTATTTATAGACACTAGAACAAAGCCAACTCCAATCCTAATTAGGACTCCTAACTAGAATAGCTTTCTAGTAGAAAGCTAGAAAGCTAAGCTTTCTTATTCCCCATAACGACTAAAAGACTAATTACCAAAAATAATTACCAAACAGAAATTACCATAAACATAAAATTCCTGCAGCTGATGGAAATACCATAAACTAATTACTAAAATACCCCTGCTGATGGAAATCAGAAAACGAACTCAACTCCCAAGTTGGTTCCTTGTCATCAAAAGCATGCCAAATCAATGCTTGGGCATTCGACACATCCTTCCAATGCCTCCTATAAACCTTAGTGGATTTTTGCCACCTATCTCTATCACCACTCTATTCCAATTATTCGACAGGCGGAAAGGTTAGAAAATGAGAATCTGATTAATGCTTCTCTTCTCAAAGCTGAGAATTCTAAAGTTTTGGCTATTGATTCTGAATAACAATTGCTGAACTTTCAGAATTGCCTACTAACCTTGATGTGTTTGATGAGGGTAAAACAGCAGTAGCTCGTCGAAATTGTGAAGATGAACCTAAAATGGACGTAGACAGGAATTTTCTAGTTAAGGAAATTCCAGAAACTAAGTCTGTGGATGGCTTTGTTTCAGCCAAAGATGATGAGTTTGCAATAGCAGAACATATGGAAGAGTTCATGCTAACATCAGAGGTTCAGCAAGTTTGGGAGCAATGCCTAGAAAAGTTAGAAAAGTTTTCTATCTATTAGCTCCAATAATTGACTTTGTCCTCAGAGAGTTTCCAGATACTCTACCAATGAGGCCCCAGTGTTACGTGTTACTCCCCCAAGTAAATGGCAAGAGAAGCTTTCAGAATTGCAGTTGGCCTTTCAACTTGTTTCAGACCCTTGGGTCATTCATCTTATTATACTTCAAAACTTGAGATCTGAGTTTTTCAAACCAGGAGAAAATGATGCAATCAAGAAATAGCTCTAGGAAATCTAAGTTCAAAGATTTTCATGATTTTCCTCAAGCTTCAACTGCCGTGGAGATTAACACCCTAATTGGAAGCAAGAATTAGTTGTATCTTTAGTTTTAGTACTGACTAGTGCTTAGGTCTCAAGCGGTCCTTTGGTCTTTCAGTTGTCACCAGAAATTTCCAGAATCATGTCTTGGAGTCTTTACTTTGTTAGATAAGTAATTGGAGTCCTTGTTATGGGTAAGTGCCTAAATTCAAGAGTTCTACAACTAGTAAGTTCCTTATTCAGAATGCAAATTGGAGTGTTTTAAGAAGCTTTTCGTTTATTAAGACTTTATTTTCTAAGTTATTCTTTACAAAGAGATGAATAAGGATTGAGTTTTGGTTTATTAGTTGTTTTGTTCTTCTTCCCCCGAAACAGGCTACCATTTTCTCATGCTTCTGCTATGTTAGTTGGCAAGATCCCATGTATGTTGTCCTACATAATCACTGTTACTGTCATCTGCTGTGAGTCATAGATTAGCTTTCAGTACGAGATAAGTTGTTTTATAGAGAACAGAAATCCCTTTTCAGCATCTAGCTGTTTGAAGACTTGCATAGTTTGTGAGAAACAATTAATGGAGCATTAGAAAAACAAAAAAGCAATGGAAGATTACAGAAAATGCCAAACTTGCGTGACACATCATAAGTAGTTTTATTTGAATAATCTATGCAGATGGGTTGCCTTTCTGGAAAAATGATGTTACTGGCACACAAAACTCATGATACTCTTCCTTGGGTATGGATATGGTTGTCTGCAAAAGAATAGGACTAGAACCAGAATTTAGTGCCTTCAGAAGTGAATTAGCAGATCGTAGCAGCATAGGAACAGGGCAATAATCAGTGGCATGACCAACCTTACAGTGACAATTACATGTTTATGGTCCTCTGCTGCTTTCACTACCTCTAGCATCTATATTGTGGTAGTTTTATGTAGGAATGTTTGATCCCAAGACTCCAGTCCTAGATTGGCAGCTTTAAGTGTAGTCAGGGAGCAACTGCACATGCTGTTTTCTTCTAATCCATTAAGCAATAGCTGTAGGAAAGGGTAGGCACATGTTTAATATAGATTGCCTCCTCTACCACCATCCACTATAATCATCCTTTTTCCTTTTGATAAAATTGCTATCTGGAGTCATAGATTAGCTATCTGGTATGAGATAGGTTCTAATTATCCTAAGAATTCTTAGTCCTGGTGTGTGATCATGTTGTTTTATAGAAAACAGAAATCTGTTTTCAGCCTCTAGCCGTTTGATGACTTGTATAGTTTCTGCGAAACAAGTAATGGAGCATTTGAAAAACTAAAAGGCAATGAAGGATTGAAGAAGATGCCAAACTTGTGTAACATATAATAAGTGGCTTAATTTGAATAAAAATATGCAGATGGGTTGCCTTTATGGAAGAATGATTTTACTGGCACACAAAATTTATGATACTCTTCCTTGGGTGTAGATATAGTTGTCCTGTAAAATGGTAGAACTAGAGAACCAGAATAAGTTGTGCCTTCAGAAGTCTCAGATACGACTGCATTAGCATATCTTAGCAGCCCAGCAACAGGGGCCAAACAATAATCGGTGGTATGACCAACCTTACAGCAACGGTTACATGCTTATGGTCCTCCACAGCTTTCACAACCTCTACCATCTATATTGTGGTAGTTTTATGTAGGAATGCTTGATCCCAATACTCCAGTCCCAGATTGGCAGCTTGAAGCATAGTCAGGGAGCAACTTAAATGCTCTTTTCTTCTAATTTATTAAGCAAGCAATTGCTGTAGCAAAGGGTAGACACTCTTGTTTAATATGGATCGCCTCGTCTACTGTCATCCACCATCCACTAGAATCGTCCCTTTTCCTTTTGTTAAAGTTGCTAATCCAAGGCAAAGTTACCTCTTTCATGCAAGCTGAATACCTGAAATATCAGGTGAGGAAACACTTATAATGTGATAGATGTCTCTGCTAGGATAGGAAGGTTTGCTAATTTTTGAGCCATAACAGGGTCAAATTCAGATTTCAGCATAAAGAAAAGTATGTAATAAACATCAATTCCAGTTGCTTTTGCATCTTTTGCACATTAACAGAACTAGGCATTATAATTTCTCATGCACTTCTAGAAAAGCTCAAATGTCTTTTCACAGTGCTTTTGCTAGAAATGCTTAAATGTCTCACATTTCTTTTGCATCTCTTCCCCAATAAATTAACTTGCATTTTGTTATTCATTATTCATGTTTTGCTGTTGACAATATGATACTCTTTTCTTGTACAGTCTGTTTTCTTTCTGGGCGGATGCATACTGCATTATTTCTTTTTGATTTTTTAATTGGATTATCATAGGAAGCAAGACTCAAGCATCTAAAACAGAGGCTGGCAGTTTCTTTTGATGGCGATTATTTGCAGCATCAAGTATGAGTTTATGCAATTTCTGTGTAATATTAATTGCAACAGAATTTTGCTGTTTACTTTTCTATAGTTTTTGTTATGTTATTTGCTAAAGCAATTACACATGTTTAGTATTTTTCTTTGTTAATTTGTCTTTTTTTTATTCAGGGGAGGGTGGGAGGAAGGTGTTAAAAATTGCAGCAAGATAAAAGGGAAAGAAGTTACATTTGTTGAACAGCATGGTTTAAAATATTATGGAGGTCTTTATTGTATACTTGGATATTAACTGAAGAATGGTAGATCAATGAAGTAACTTGAGAGAATTTGAATCTGAATTGCAAGAAGTTGTTATCTACTGGACCAATACGTTGCCTACCAAATTCGTGGTCATGATTGATCTGTTAATTGTTAGTATGCTTGTTGGGTTAAATTTATGCTAGTGGCCATATGAATCTCCACCCCAGCATGAAATGTACCATTTTTGAGGCATGACTAGTTGTCTATGATGAAGTAGAAGGCTTTCCAGTTCAGAGTTATGTTTGCGTCTATCTCTATCTGATTTTCCTCATGTTATATGCTAGTTAAGATGCAATTACAAATTTCTTTGTATACCTTTTTCTTTCTGTTGGTAGGATGCACTTAGACATCTGTGGAGGTTAGCTTATCCTAATAAGGAGCTCCCATCCCTTAAATCAGAACAATGGAAAGAGATGGGTTGGCAAGGGTCTGATCCTTCAACAGACTTCAGGTTGTAGGGTTATCTGCCTAATGGAATGCATGTATGGCAAGTATTTGTACTCATATGGTGTTTATGTTGTGTGTCAGGGGCGGAGGATTTATATCATTGGAAAATCTTATCTTCTTTGCTAAGACGTACCCGGTATGAATTTTGTTTCATGTGCATGGTTTTTTGTTGTCATACTATCAGAACGGGTAGGCAAGGGGTACGAGGAGGGGTTACCCCTTTGACCTTCCTAGCTGGCATGAATGCATTTTCTGCATTGCTAAGCTATCATACAAAAGTTTCTCTTACATTTAAAATAAAAAGCGAAATTGTTGTAGAAGAATTGATGAATGTACTATAGTGCTAAACAGTAGATTACGTGGAGGAACAAGTGTACCCTATGCAAACCTTAGATGATAAGACCATTGAGTGTACACAATAGTCTTGCATGTTAGACCAGTTTTTTATGGGAGATCTATTCTCCCTTCCCATGAGAGCCTAGACAATGATACCGTTTACTGTAGACTCTTCCAATAGTGGGGGTGGGAATACAAATGAGGCGCTGGCGGAAAAGGCCATATTTCATATTCTTTTGATTGGTTGTTGTGTATGCTAATTTTTCTCAATTGCAATTGAAAATTTCTGCATCCAATCGCTGGTGGCTTCCTTTGTCCATCTTGTTTGATTCACTTTCTTCAACTTGCTCATTAGGATAAATGACTTAAATGTGGAAGGAAAATATATCCAGAAGGTGGCTTGGGTAACTTGACACTATTTCAGGCACATTAATGGTGCAGAAATCTTTTAATGTTATCCTATTGTTGATTTCATTGTTACCCAATGCAATTTTCAAAATCTTTGGTATTCATGTGTAGAAATATATGAAAAGGGCCCAAGAATTTTCCTCATGGAGCAGTTACGGGTTTAGGGTTATAGGCAACCGTTGATTAGTTTGGTCAGCTATGCAATGCTTATTATTTTACAGAGACATTTTTCTAGGTGGAATATGGGATTTTGTTTGAGTGCGAACAATAATTCTTCTAGAATTAAGAATGTATAATTGGATAGAATAATGCCTCAGCCCGCTGGAAATGCATGGTGCTGGAAGATATGGCGTTGGCCACTCAGATGTTTGTCGATGATGAGGTTCTCTGGACTATTTGGTACTGTGAAAACATGTAGTGTGGATCTACTTCCATTTCCATGAGAGTTTTTCTTTTCACATCATCTGGGACACCAACACTATCTTTTATATAGCATCGTTGATGTGTTGTCAGGCTGAAAAAGCTTTCAAGATTGTGCTTTCCATAAAAATTGGAACTGATAAAATATTAGAAAATAAAAACTAGAAGAAGTGACAGTAGATAGCATTGCAGCTCTGATATTCATTAGCTGTTTGGCAGTATCTTCACTATTGTGGGTTGCCAAATGTAATACTATTACTGTGCTTTCTAATGATTGGTATCCTGTAGTGTTTTGTTTAATCTTCGTATGAATTGTATACATCCATGATTTACAGAATAAGTAGTGTTACAGATTTGTTTATTGTAAGCTGAAAATGACTAGAGAACATAAGATTTAAGTTTACTGGATTTGATGTGGGACACAAGTTCTGGTTGGCAAGTTGACTTAAGATGTGTTAGATTTGTACAGTTAACATTCACATTTTTTTTTTGTGGATATGGAAAATTTTGGAGGCTTAGCTTTACCATTTATATTGATATCATGGTTCATCCTTTGCGTAACATAGTGATCGTAAGTGGGCTAATGAGTTTGGCTTGTTAACCTATTACGTCTTTGCCCTTTCTTCTATGTCACTGTAACAGGAAGCTTTCCAGAATTTGTTGCATAAAAGAGACGGAAACAGATCTGAATGGGAGTACCCTTTTGCTGTAGCTGGCATCAATGTTTCATTTATGTTGGTGCAGATGTTAGATCTTCAATCAGGTAAAAAATTTCACTGGTTGACCAGCTAATTGATTATATGTTTGGTTTAAGCATATGGTACAAAGGGACCGATTTTTGGCTCTGATATATGATAATTAACCATTCCAAATTCTGAATAAACGGGCTAATCCGATGTAAGGCCTTGTATGTGAACTGTGGGCAGGTCGGCCTCAGACCAAGTAAAGATTTTTTCATTGTGCTGGGCTTGGGCTTGTCGAAACCCAACTAACTAAGCTCAGATGACTGCCCTACGGGTGGGGTATGGCCCAGGGCAGACCAACCTAGATTGGGTGGCAACGGGTGGGGTGGGATGTCATGTGGTATGGTTGGATAAGGGACTATGATTGAGTGGAGATGAAAAATAAACAATGTTTTAAATTTAATCTCTTTATGTTTCTAGAATTTTAAATAGTTGAAGAACAGCACCTGGCATTCTAGAAAACAGGCCTCATTTCCATAAATGTTTTCCTTTTGTTTTACAAAACTAGGAATTTTAGCAAATAGGGTTTTGTGTTTTTGTTTGTTAAATTTTACAAATGAAAACAGAAAAACACGTAACCCATGCATCACCAAATGCGCCCAAACCCCCCCCCCCCCCCACCAAAAAAAAAAGTGGTTGGTTTTTATGTTGCCTTGTGATAATAGGTGGAAACTGGTGTACATCTTCCTCTTTATCCTCAAATTGTAACCAGTTAGGATGTTTTCTGGTGCTTCTGACATGAAGGCAACTTTAAGACATCACAATAGTCTATCATATATAGTTACTGAAATCGGATTAAATGTACAAACAAGTAAAAAAAGGGACTCAAAACTGATTAGAGCGAATATTAGAGCCATTTTTTTTGCATGATTTTATATTTTGGGTTGTGCCTCTGTTGCATTGCACCTTTTTTGAATTGGATCTCGATCTTGCTTAACACCTTTTTGCATCATGTCCGCATCCTCACTGCTTTGGCCAAAGTAAACCTGATGACTGATGTCTTTATTGTCTGAGCTAAAACAGGATTCCACACCCTTACTGCTTTGTCCAAAGTAACCCTGAATACTGATGTCTTTTTTGTCTGAGCTACCAACATGATAACCAGCTTGGCTTGCAACACCAGTCTCATGCATGATGCATCTTGCTGAACATTTTCTAACTACAATCCACCCAAATACGATCAACATGCTATACTTGTTCCTACCCATTATAATGAATTCCCTGTATGACTACAAGTTGGTTTCTCTAACCATAATTTCTAGCCTTATGACCACACCAGTAAACCTTCATATGTAACTATTTTGAATCATGACTCACTTCCGACTGTCTGTTCACATGAATTTTGACCTCTTTAACAACATAAGCCAACTTATTTTGTCCTTATTGGATGAAAATATTGCCTTGTTGAAGAAGTATTTTTGTCATTGAGCAGAGGTGGTAATTGTTGATGATTAGCATTTTGTTGATCTATGACAGGTCATTGTAGTATTTAATCAGGATAAAATTTCCAATTTTTCATGGAGGACATCATGTGACTCATTCCCCAGTTTACTCTAGCTTTTTGGTTTGTGAATTTTAAATTGGTCCTGTGAACTTTCTATATCTCCTTATGAAGATTAATTGACATGCTTGAAATGCAAGACCATGTGTCCAATTAATGCCAGTTATAATAGTGGCTATTGTAAGACAAGATTCAATAATTAATGGAAAGTATATAACCAGTTTCAGTTTTGTGCATCCCTCTGAATCTTTCAATTTATTTGCTTCTGAACAGAATCTTTGAGGGGTGTGTCTACACGCACATATTGCAACTTCATTGTGTGTGTGTGAAAAATATGGCCTTCCTAAAACCGTACTAATTGTTCCTATGGTCTTCCTAACTGTACTTGGGCAAAAGGAATCGAGTTTCTTTTGTTTTGTAAGTTATTCTTTATTGAGGTTTAATTGCATTTCTTAGAAATCATTTTAAGGGGGAAGGGTGGGGTGAGATTATTAGTTTTGCTTGCTTATGATGGAGCATTTAGTTTGTAGTATTACTCTTTCAGGAAAACCAAGTACTTTGGCTGGAATTCACTTTCTAGACTTACTTGGTGAAGATGAAATGGCCTTTGACAACCTTTTCTGCGTTGCCTTTAAATTGTTGGATGCTCAGTGGCTCGCCAAACGTGCATCATATATGGAATTCAATGTGAGAAACTTCTACTTACCACTCTACATATTTGACTATGCAAGCCAAATTATTGGCATTGCATCTCTCGATATCTATTGATTTCAAATTCTTCGTTTTAGGATGTCCTCAAGTCAACAAGAACCCAACTGGAACGTGAACTTGCATTGGAAGACATCTCCTGTATACAAGATTTGCCAGCATATAACCTATTAAAAAGATAATGGGGCTATACAATGCAGTTCTAGAAATATGTTCATATGTGTCTTGATTCAATGTCTTGTAATCATCTTATACCAATTTATAATTTTTATTTCTTTTTCTTTAGGAATAAAGTCCAATTTGTTTATACCAAGGGAGTTATGCGGAATTGTGCATTTTGGCAACAGTACATCACATCTCAGAAGTAGCGATAAACTACTGGTGATCCGAGTCCCCCACAAAATTTCTCTAAGAATAGCTCTTCTTTGGCCAGTGGGGGGCTGGATACCTTTTCCTATAGCTTTGCCAATTAGGTTTGGTTCTCATTTTGTTATATAACTAACTTTTCTCTTGAAATTGGTTAATACAAATGCGACTGAATTTTATTCTTATTGTTAAGAAGATTAAAAAATGTCGTTAACCATAATGATGATTACCGGGTATTCTCATCCCTTAGAGGGAAACTTCCATTTTTATCCCTACTATAGGAGGGTATAGAGTAAGGGTTATATACATTAATAATTTTATCTGAAGTAACAAGCACCTTTCCAAAATATGGAGATTGATCTTACGAAATTGACTTGACAGTTGACTCTATAAAGGAGTGGGATTTGTGGCTTAGAAAAAAAAATTAGTAGGGTTTGATATTTTGAAAAAGGGAAATTGCCATTTTTGTCTCTAAACTTTTTCACTAAAATCAATTTTGTCCGGGATGATTTTTGGTGACCAATGTATTGCTTTAAGTTTTATTTGCTATCTAATCAAATTCTTCTGCGGTAGTGCCACCTATTTTTGTGACGACCCCACTTTTTCCTAGGGCGTATCCCAAAGGTTAGCAGATCGCCTGCCCAACTCTCGTCATGACTTACTCACTCACTCGAACTCAATCAAGATTTTCAAGATTAACGCTATATGCTGCCACTCAGCATTAGGGTCGATGAAATAACTCTGCAATCGACTTAATCAAGGTAAAAGTATTGAGACGGGATGAGAGGCACCTCCCACTCGGATTGAGTGCGGTACATGCTGCCGCTTAGCACTTACAAGTCAAGTACAAGCACAAATACAAGTACAGGTCAATCAAACTCAAACAAATAAAAGATTATTCAAGAAGGGGAGGACGAGTGTGATAAAGTACACTCTCGTCTCATTAAGTTCAGTATTCAACACATAACACGTGGTATCATTCACATCAAGATATCAAGAAACATGCATAGTTTAAACAAAATAACGTCAAAAGTTCACCCTTGGGTTATGTCCTTGATCATCAACAAACCCTAAAAACAACCAAAATAAAGTATTATGGCTCAACTATTCAAAACTTAGGTGAGCCAAAGAAAATCCAAGTAATTACTAGTGCAACGACGCAAATATGGTTTTGAAGTGAAAAGAGAATATTTAGACCCAAGGGACATGAGTAACTAAGATGTTCCTCATTCCAATAATAAAACCAAGTTCACAATGGTTTAACAACTCCAACTTAAAGTTGGAAATGGAAGCAAGAACAACTTTAGAAAACAGAATTTTCTCCAATTTTACGCGACACTGTTTGAAAAATCATATCACAAGCTTCTTAAGTCTAAAATTTATAAACTTTATACCGTTGGAAAATAGACTCAAAGGACTACAATTTTCAGAATACACATTTCTAAGATTCTGTCCATAAATCAGTCAAATTCCAGTCTCAAGTTGCTGCTTTATCAGGTAGATTCGTCAACTTTGGAAAATCATAGATATTCATAGGAATTGAGAAAACTTCTGAAATTTTCACGGTAGAGTGCACTCTGAATCTAGTTTCAAATGCAATAAGAAGAACTAAATTTGGATTTTTCTACGCCAAGATATAATAAATTTTCCAAGACTGCTCAGAGTCTCCTGCGGGAAAATTTGCAGCAACACTTCCCCTTATTTTCTTAACTTTTCCATCCAAATTCAACACCAACATTCGCAGCAATCCAACCTCAATCACAATCACAAGTTATAGGCTATAAAGTACACTTTTTTAAGGCCACAAAACCACCCAAAATAGCCAATTATCTAGCTCAAGAACTACTATAATAAAGCTAGAAAATGGAAACCCTAGGCTGAAATTTTCCCCTACAAGCTAAAATGTTCCATAAGCAAGCCAAAATAACTTGTAAAAGTTAGAAGATTCACATGGCAAAACTACTAGATCATGGCCAATCTCAAAGCATCATATCAAATCCGAAATTTCACCTTCAAAGCTGAAATTTTTCAATCACTACTTAAACCATGAAATTTCTCATGAAAACTACGAAAATCATACCTTAAATCCACTCATAAGTAAGTAAATAAAGAAAAGAGAGCTTCTTGATATAATTACCTTAATACCCTAAGAAGAAATGGAAACCAAGTGCTCCTTTCTCCCAAATCACTCCACCAAAGCCCTTAATCTTCCTTAAAAGTCAACTTTTAGGGAGTAGATTGCAAGATTAACGCTTAAAACTCAAGATTCAAGCAAGAAATGGTGATGGAAGATGAAGGTTTTCTCTCTCTTTTCCCTCTCCAATTTTCAGCCAAGAAGAAGAAGGTTATGGATTGTCTTGGTAAATTTTTGGTGTATTAAAGGATAAGAAAGGTTGAAGTCAAAGTCAAAGATCCAAAGCTTTGTTGACAAGTGTCCTCCAGTGGTTAATCCTCATCTAATGGTCTTTCAATCACTAAAATATTTAGTCAACCTCTAATTATCCCTTAACACCATATAAAATCATATCCCTTTGAGCAAAACTCCTCCTAATCGTCAAAAATTTATCGCACATACCACATTAGTGGGTCCCACTACCATAATGCACTACGAATTTAACATGCACTATCTTATACATGAAAAATGATTTAAAAACTTAACTCACTTATAAAAATATCTAGAAAATTAAGGCAATAAGATAAAGTAAAGAAAAATGTATTCGAAGAAATAAAATAAAATAAAATAAAGTAAGGAAATTCGGGTTCTCACAATTTTGACTTTTTCGACACAAAAATTGGGGGGCAATATTAGAACTACAAGTGAACTTATGAGGATTCAAAAATTATTTTATATTTTTCTTATAATTTTCCTTATGTTTGAATAAGCTAGTTTATATTTTCTTTTGGTTTAATTCAATTGCCTTAATTTCTTAGATACTTTAATGATTGAGTCAAAAGTTTTATCTTATTCTTCCATAATTTAGTGCATGTTAAATTTCATAGTGCATTTTACTAGTGTGACTGACAAGTGAGGTATGTACAATAAATTTGGAAGATTAGAAGGAGTTTTGTGCAAAAGAATTTTTGTGATAAGAGGTGTAGCTAATTGGAAGAAAGAGAGATATTTGGGTTAATTAGATGGACTTGAGTTGGATTCTCGACTTGAGTTGGATTCTTGCCACTTGTCAACCATCCAGTCAACGTTGACCAAGACTAAAACTCATTCTTATCTCACCAAGCATCCATTTGATCCAAAACTTCTTCTTTTCTTGCTATGGTCAACGAAATTTTGAGGAAAAAAAAAGGGAGAGAAAAGCCAAATTTCTAGTCCAAATTAGTGAGAAACCAAAGAAGGAAACCTACTTTACTCCATCAATCTTTGAAGCAAGTTGGAAGGAAGCTTGGAGGAGTTTTTGGAGAAAGGACTTCTTGTTTCATTTCCAACCTTAGTCTTGTGTGGAAGAAGGTAAAAATTGCTAGAAAACTTAGTTTTCTCTTCTTATACTTGAGTTTACTTGATGTATGGATGATAGGAGTTAAAAGGGAGGAATTTTATGGGGGATTTTAGTTGTTTGCAAGTTGTTTTCTTGATAGTTTGTTGCTGGAAAATTTTCAGCTTTACGTGTTTGGTTCGATCATTAGTTTACAAGCTTTATATGTGGATTTTGGTGGATTGCTTTGTTAAGAATCATACTATATGCCTCTTTATATGATAAAGAAGAAGAATTAGGTACGTTCCATGAAAACCTTAGTAGCTTTGATGGGGAAAATTATGGTGAGTTTGATATATGCTTCTATGTAGAAATATTAGTCATTTTTATGGTGATTTTGACAAGGTTTTTGCTTAAGATACTTTGTTAAACCTTAATCTTCAAATGTATGTTGACTTTGAGCCAAGGGAGTGATTTTGTTAAGAAAAGTTTCATTTTCTCAAGTTGTTAGCAATTTGGAAATTTTTGCAGGAAGCTCTACGCAGGTTTGGAAAATTGGCTATAACTTCATATAGAAAAGTCGGAATTGAGTTCAGTTTATTGCGTTTAAAACTAGACTCATAGAGCTTCCAACAGTATAAAATTTAGGGTTTGGTTCTGTGAGAACCCAAAAAATTTTCACATTTTCTCAGCATTATTTTATTTCTTTGCCTACATTTTATACTTTCCTTGGAAATATTAAAATTTCTATGCATTTTTACAAGCAAGTACAGTTTTAAATTCATTTTCCTAGTATGAGTTAGTGTACGTTAATTTGAAGTGCGTTATAGACGTGGGACCCGCTAGTGCGATATAAGTTTGGTGACTAAGTGATTTTTGTGCTAAGTGTTATTATTATACAAGGTGCTAGAGGATAATTAGAGGTTTGTTATATGATGTAACCATTGGAAGCCAAACGATTAGAGAAAACACTAGAAGGGCCAAGTGTTGCAAACCCATTGGAGGTTGGACTTTGACCTAATTTTCACCTTTACTAAAAACCAAAATTTGACCCAAAATATCTTCATTTTTCTTGCTTCTTGGCTGACTTTCTTGAGGGGAGAAACAAGAGAGAGCTCTTCAATTTCTTGCTTCCAAACTTGCTCAAATCTTGAGTTTTAGCCAACCAAATTGGAAACTACACCATACAAGTGCTCAACTAGGAAGCTTGATGGTTTTGGTGGAGTTGTTTTGGAGGAGGAAAGACTAAACCACTATCTTCTTGTGGTTTTAAGGTATCTTGCCAAGAAATCTCTCTTTACTTTTAATACTAGAGTCGTTGTTAGCTTATTTGTGGTTCAAGGGTGCAATATAAGTAGCTTGTATTTGTGGTTGTAATGCTTATATCAAGTGATTTTGGATGGTTGGGGTGATGAATTTGAGTTAGTGATGTGAAACCCCGATCTAGACAACAAAACACCATGGTTTAGGCAGCGGAAATTTGACCCAACTAATCCCTAGAAGTCACGAACAATTTTGATATTATCTCAACCCGTAACTACTCGAATTAACGAACCAAATTGGAGATAGTAGAACGCCACAATCAAGGAGATACTCGATTGATAAGTTCGGGTGAATAACTTGAGAAGATTCTCAAGTATTCAAAGGCAACTCTCTTGCCAAAGAGAAAGTGAAAACTCACTAATTGTATTTAATAGTCAAAAACTGATCCCAAAACAAAGA